GGGTATCACTTGTTGGGTCTGAATGTCCCTGGGGAGTAGCCTGACTCTGAAATAAGGAAAGGTGTGGGAACCAAATTATGTGTAGGTGGAGCCACAACACAGCTTACTCCATTATGAGGCAACTGAGATTTGGGGAGTGCAAAACATGTATCCCAACTCTACCCCAGCCATTATCAACCAGTGGCAAAGATAGGTGTAGAAGAGTGAACACTAGACTGCAGATGGGCTTATTGGGACTTAAAAGTCCAGGGCAACATGCTTGCTACATTTTGGCTTTTTAAATCTACAGCTCCCAGTTCACAGCTCCTATAGTCTTGCAATTTCTTATGCCACTGGACTAATAAAAATATATTTTATTAGAATATTTGGCTTACGTCTCCGAAACAGCTCCAAGTAGATAAAGGTAAAGCAGTATTTTTCAACCACACCTGAGTGTTTATGAATGTGATTTTTACAGGCACCACTGATAAACACTTAATACCGGGGAGGAGACTAGGGAAATTGATGGATGCTTGGAAGGGGTCACAAAGAGGAGGAAAGGGCTGAAGGTTGAGTTCATTACCAGTGGCCAATGATTCAATCAGCCCATGAAATATCTATAAAAAGCAAGTGCCCAAGGTTGAGAACTTCCAGGAAGGAAAGAAGGAACAGAGCCCTGCTCCCGAGGGTGACATACTCCTGACCCCAGGGGTTGGACAATCCCTTGCTCAGGACCTTGTACTCCTGGCCCTGGACACCTCTTATAGAGTTGTTTGCTTACATCTTTAAATCACTCTTCGCAATAAGCAAATAAAATAATGAAAAATATACAAAGAAATAAGTCCCCATTCCCAAACAGTGGTTGTCACCCCTCGTGAGTGATGAAATCAGTATCTGTGTTCATAATGTAACAAGATCCATGCCTTAGCAGGGAATTTGTAAGTAATGACTGTGTTAACTCAAGCACAATTGTTACCGTGCTTTTGTCACCATTTTTAGAAGACAACTGTCTAGTCAGAAGCAGCCACACCCTTCCTGTAGAGTCTGGGAAAGGTTTCCTGATGACAAAGAGAAAAGGTTAGCCACTGTAATGGTGCAGGATGACTGATCCCCATTCCTGGAATGCAATGACTTCTAAAAGTAAATGCAGGGTCATATGATAGGACAAATAGGCTCAAAAGCAGTTGAGGAATTCCAAACAATGAAAGCAAGTAAGGAACGAGTCAATGTATTTATACTATGTACAGAGATTCATAGACTCACCATGCAAAACATGACCTCTGGCATGTGTCCTGTGCTCCTGGAACCTGAACCCACATTTGCAGATTTGCATATTAATGCTGCAGCTGTGATTCTATGTTTTTAGACCTTTATTTGTTTATTTTATATGTGAGTAGGTGTTTTGTCTGCAGTTATGCGTCTGTATCTCATGCATGCCTGCCTAGTGCCCATGAGGTCAGAAGAGCATCAGATCCCCCAGAACTTCAGTTAAGGACAGTTGTGAATTACCATGTGGGTTCCAGGACCTGAACCAGGTCCTCTAATAAAAGTCACAAGTCCTCTTAACTGCTTAGCTACCTCTGCAGCCCTTGTATTTGTTATTTCAAAAGGAAAAAGAAAGTCAGTAAAAGTCCAAGTCTAAGGTGGACCTGTTGTCTCTCATTACATATTAATTTTTATGGGCTATTTTGAACCCGCAAAGTATTGGAAGCTCTATAGTCAGCCTTGAGATGATAATGATATAATGATGATAAATTAAAAGTCTGAAGTAATATTCCTTTGTAAAAGAAATGTTTGTAACAACTGGCCCTTTCCAACATACACTGATACGATTCTTCAACTATGTTGAGGATATTAAAATTATTTAAAATCAATTATTCTAAATATACATGTTCATCTTTGATAGCTCAAAATTTAAAAGATAGATTTAAAACATGACTTCTTATTTTTCCAACTCTTAGTACTGGGAGCTCTCTTGGCTGGGTTCCTATTATTTTGGGAAGCATCTAAGCAGTAATATTGGGAAGGTGTTTTCTCACAGCTCCTGTTTGCTTCTTTTCAAATGTCTTCAGGTATACTCATCTAAGTCATAAGGAAGGATTATCAGATATGTTTAAAAGCTTGGTCAAAAAGATGCAGCATGCTAGTGTGCATGTGTTCCCGTGTGTGTGAGGGGGGAGGGAGAGAGAAAGACAGAGAGAGATTGGGAAAGATAGGATTCATTGACAATTTCCAGAGGACAGTGACTATTTAGTATATTTAAGTGTAAAGAAAATTAATGCAAAAATTTTTGAATCCCAGAGAAGATGAAAAGGCAAAGCATAAACATCAGGAATTAGTAAGTTCGGCCTATGCAATGAATGAATTTAAAGGATAAACTAACACTGGTTCAAATAAGGTTTGCCAAGTTGCTTTCACATCTGTAATTGAACCGCAGCTCTCTCTGGGAATCCTTTAGAAAAATGTTCTTCCACTGAGATAACCTTGTTCTCTGAATACAGAAGGCAAGAAAGGGGTAAGGAGGAATGAACTGAAAAGCAACTTTGATCAAGACTCAAGGTACTTGGTGCTTGTAATGAAGCTAACAGAGGGAGAAGAGGAGTAGAGGCAATGACAGAAAGGTGTGCCAGGCTGTGGAGAGCACTGGGTGGAAACACAGAATGAAAATGCATGCAGGGAGACAAGCATCCTGGGTGAAGAAACAGGACAGAGGTGCTCGCTGCTTGGTGAGCGCTAACTGGCAAGGGAGATTTTAGAACTCTATGTATCTATTTAAGCCCAGAAGTTTCTTAAGGTTGTCCATTAAGAAATATTGACAAGCATATTTTCTAAAAGAACTGATGTAATTTTCACTTTCTTCAAGTTTTCTACTTTCCTTCAAAGTGAGTATCGAAGACATATGTAGCCAAGAACATAAGTTTCTCCACTCTGTATTATATGTGCAGGAGTGGGTATCTTATCCCCCTCCCTGATTTGAAATGTGGTGTAATGATTCATGTGAGACAGTCTCATGGTGTCCTAGCTCAGGGATATAGCATTTTTAAAGGTAAAACCCACAGAGACACACCAAAGTTAGATTGAGGTCAGAAAACCTTAAAAGCTTCATTCCTGCCAGAGCATAGTAGTCATTTTAAACAGTAACTTGCCAATTATCTTGGCTAATACATCTACAACCACAGCCAAGGTATGGAAATCTCAAATGTGTTTGCCAAGGCTGACCTGATGGTTGCAGGAAGGGCGTGTAGGGGGCTAAGAACTATCTTAAGTAAGCCCAAGATGGAATCAGGACAGCATTTGGCCTTGCCTTAGTCATTTCAGTGGGGTCTTACCTTTTGTTAAGGATCTCAAAACCGTGAAACTATAAAAGTGGTTGCAAAGCTTTGCTATTGCCACCTATGTACCAGTAAGTCCTTTTGTCTTTGCATGGAGTTTTTCCTCAGAACTACTTTGAGACATACACGTCTTCAGGTTATAGGACAGTTGCTCACGGTGCTCACAGCTGGTGTGGGAAACACTGCTCCCACGTCTTTGGAAGATGTGAGGAACTTGAGTTGCGGGGGTGTTTTCCACTGAACTGAATTGATATTGCTTCCTTCTGTCTGTTGGGGATGACGGAACCTTCGACTGCGTGATCAGTGGTGAAATTGCTTGCTGAGGCTTGTGATTATTTTGTTGTCAGTTCACAGTATTTTCCTAAGATTTAGGGGTCCCACAGACCTATGCAAGCGAATTGGGAAACTGGGGAGGGGGTGTGAAGGTCATGTTGGTAATGGGCGAGCTCTTTGAGGGTCTTTTCTCTGGCTGATGTCAAAAGGATGTGGACAGTGACAAATGGGTGTTTTGAGGTGAGAAGGGCTAAAGCCCTCTAATAAAAGGGCTTCAGGAAGGAGTGTGGGTGACCCAGGGAAATGTGCTCAGGTCAAGTTTAAGCCTGGGAAAAGAGGCCCTGGAGAAACCAGATGAGAAAGATAGGAAGGAAGATAGGGAGGGGAACGCTGGGTGTGGAGAGAGGGGGGGCTGAAAAGTGAGAGGGCTCAAGCACTGTTTAGTGCTCTGACAACAGAGTTGAGGACCACTGAGAAGTAAAAAGTGAAAGTCCAGGAGGAGGAGAAGGCAGAGCCCTGCAGCCCCGAAGGGACCCTTGGCTGGGGAGGTGGCAGTGGAGGCGGGAGGGGGGTGGGAGGGAGGACAGCTTGGCTGGCCTCAGGCCCCCCTTGGCAGCCTCAGGCGTTGGCTCCTCGGGGCTCCCTCCCTCTCCGGAGCATTGTTCCTTTGCCGGGAGACAAGGAAATTGCCTTTTGATTGCGGAAGTCCCGGACAGGGCTTGGGGGCGAGGCAGTGCAGGTCAGAATGGCAGCGTGGGAAGGGCCGTGCGCCGCGGATCCCCGCCGCCTGTCGCGTCCGCAGCCCGCCCTGGGCGGCAGCAGAAGCAGCGACTGCCGCGACCCTAGCGCATCGCCAGCTCAGAGGGAAGCGCGCTGCGCCCGCTGGGCGCGCTGAGCGCGCAACAAGTGGTACCCGAGGTGGCCTGGCTGTCCGCCCAGCGAGATGCGGAACCATGGAGTCACACTGGCCTTGTGGATCGCGCTGAGCCTCCTGCAGGTGAGCGGGCAGAGCAAGGGTTGATGATGATGCTGCCCTCTCCGCTAAGAACCAGGTCCATCCTCTTCCCAGCCACTGGGGCTGTGCTGTGCTGCCATGTGCAAAGGAACAGAAATTCCAGGCCCCTAGGTGGGAGAATCATCCTTTTCCTGAAACCCTGCCATCTACCAAACTGACAGCTCACCCTGCTGCTGTCAAGAAAGCAAACTTCTGTCTCCAGCTGCTCCTGGGGAAGGGGGAGCAACTCGGGTGGAGGTTGCATGACATCCACACCCCCTGCGAGCCCTTTCCTGGGTTGGAGGATGAGAGGACAACTGAGGCTGGGCTCCAGGGGTGAGAACAGATGACTCCTGGAGGTGGCTATGTCTCTAGGCAGTGCGGAGTGTGGACTTAACCTGTGCTCTCTGGTTCTTTTGCAGGCTGCACTGGCAGAGCTAGCGAGATGTAACTTCACGCTGCTGGAGTCCACGGTCTCCAGCTTGTCGGCCTCTATCCAGTGGAGGACTTTGGGGTCACCCTGTAACTTTAGCCTCATCTACAGCAGTGATACCTCACGGCCCATGTGGTGCCATCCCATTCGAATAGACAACATCACCTATGGATGTAGCCCCAAGGATTTACAAGCAGGGACCACCTATAACTTCAGGATTGTTTCTCTGGATGGAGAAGAGAGAACTCTGGTCTTACAGACAGGTAACGAGAGAAGGGATGATGGCCAAACCGCCAAGCCACTCCAAACTGAGCCTTGCCTTTTCATACTGGGGCTTTCATGAGAGAGAGAGGAGAGAGAGAGAGAGAGAGGGAGAGGGAGAGAGAGAGAGAGAGAGAGAGAGAGAGAGAGAGAGAGAGAGAGAGAGAGAGAGAGAGAGAGAGAGAGAGAGAGAGAGAGCCCTTTGGTGCTGAAAACAGCAGGTGAGGAGAGCAGATGACTAAAAGTCCGCGTGAGGGGAGGAAGGAGGCAGAGGGAGTTGTTGTTTTTTTTTTAAGTCGATGTGGTTTGAGCTTCCATCACATTAAATCGTCATACATTTTAAGTAAATGTTTTGATCATAAATAATGGAGTTGTGATGATTAAGGATAATACTTGGTTGTGTTTGTAAGACGTGAATCAGAACATCTTGTCTTCAGAGAAAAAAAATAGTACTATTCACAGGGAAAGTTGGAAAAGTCCCTTGAAAAGAGGGTGCAAAGATGATTTTGTGTTTCTTGAGTTATGTTAACAGTAGAGAATGTTCTTTGGTCACTCTGAACTTCGAACCGATGATTTCCCAGTATCTCTTTCTATGTGTGACTGCCAGATTTGTCTCTCTTGTCTCTGTTCTCTCATCTGTGAAATGAGAGGCTGGATGATTGTCAGGCCCAAGTTTTTCCCACCTGCAGGGACCACCACAGGTGTTTGACTCACTGGAGCCTCAGCCTTGAGGGTGCTGCAAATCCCCCAACTCCTGAGTCTTTGCCATCTCTGTTCCGTACAACAGCGAAGGCTTCCTTCAACCAGAAGTTTTTTATATCAAGGAAAAAAATTCTGAAAGTTAGATTGAGAAATGGGTTGATTACCTTTATGTTTCTTTTGCTTTTCCACCAGAACAAAGATGATTTCTTTGGCCATAGCTCTTTGGAGGCCACCAGTTTGACTGGAAGGGCAAGCAGAGTTGGGAAATCTCACTGAGCCCCTAAAATATTAATCTTTTCTTCCTTTTTAAGACACAATATTCACACCATTTGACACTTGCTACAGATGGGACATAGAGGTGATTCTTGAGGGCTGAAGGAACCTTAATTTGAAAAGACAAACTGCTTGTTAAGAATATGCTTGTATTTATATAGAATCAGAGAGAGAGAGAGAGTAAAATCAACTACAGGAGTGAAAGAAGCTGGATTTTCAGTCATTATATTGACTATTTCTTGGAAGTTGTAGATGGTTCTGTGACTATTCACATCACTGCAGCTGTAGAGTGTTGAACCTAGAACACCTACGTGTGCAGGTTGCACCAAAAAGGGTCTCACCAACAGTGTGTGTGTTCAGGGTCACACCAACAGTGTGTGTGTTCAGGGTCACATCAACTATGTGTGTGTTCAGGGTCTCACCAACAGTGTGTGTGTTCAGGGTCACACCAACAGTGTGTGTGTTCAGGGTCACATCAACTGTGTGTGTGTGTTCAGGGTCTCACCAACAGTGTGTGTGTTCAGGGTCACACCAACAGTGTGTGTGTTCAGGGTCACACCAACAGTGTGTGTGTTCAGGGTCACACCAACAGTGTATGTGTTCAGGGTCACACCAACAGTGTATGTGTTCAGGGTCACACCAACAGTGTGTGTGTTCAGGGTCACACCAACAGTGTGTGTGTTCAGGGTCACATCAACAGTGTGTGTGTTCAGGGTCACACCAACAGTGTGTGTGTTCAGGGTCACACCAACAATGTGTGTGTTCAGGGTCACACCAACAGTGTGTGTGTTCAGGGTCACATCAACAGTGTGTGTGTTCAGGGTCACACCAACAGTGTGTGTGTTCAGGGTCACACCAACAGTGTGTGTGTTCAGGGTCACACCAACAGTGTGTGTGTTCAGGGTCTCACCAACAGTGTGTGTGTTCAGGGTCACATCAACTGTGTGTGTGTTCAGGGTCACACCAACAGTGTGTTTGTTCAGGGTCTCACCAACAGTGTGTGTGTTCAGGGTCACATCAACAGTGTGTTTGTTCAGGGTCTCACCAACAGTGTGTGTGTTCAAGGTCTCACCAATAGTGTGTTTGTTCAGTGGGGCAGAGAGATTTTTTTAAGTAGCTGTATTTTCAGAAACTTTTAGGAAAACATAAGCCTTAAGGAACTTGGAGATAGTTATTTACCCCAAGGATTTAGTTTTTGTGGAAAAAAATAAGGATGACGAGAAAAGGTTGACTGTAGGTGTTGGTAGCATAAAACAAGCTTCGAGTTGTTACACAGGGAGATGCTTCAAGTCCAGAGATGTTTGGTGAAACATGAGAAATATTCACATTATATGGATGATATTGAATAAAAGGCTTCTATGTGTTGTTTTACCATAGAATTTCCTCCACACTAGGCAAGCACTGTACCACTGGGCTACACCCCAGACTCATTATTTTTTTTAAGGATGTAGTTTTCACCATACATTTCCTGAGTCTCAGAATAAATACAGACGATGAAAATTGCAGATGCTGTTGGCGTAATGGTAATCTTTCCACCCTTGTTGGTATGACGATGTAACCCTTCTCAGAACTCTCCATGTCAAAAGAAGATTCCATTTAAATGCAATATTTAAATTTAAATATTGTTTTAGGAAGGGTTTTTCTAAAGTTGTTTATTTATACATTCATTTGCATGTAGTGCTTTCAAAATTTTAAAGGCATATGTAAAGTTTTCATTTTGTTAAGGAAAAACAACTATTATTCCTCAGTATTGATTGCTAAACCTTAGTGATGAGATCCATAAATCATATTTTACTACTACTAAAGCAATGCCGACTGATACAATATCAACTCAGACAAAGCTTTAAACAAACCAAAGATGCCATTCAAAATGTGAGTTCTTTCTTTGCTGCCTTTCACCAATCTTACTGGTCTAGGATGAATTAGAACAAAAGCAAGACTCACTCATGAATGGAGACCAGGCTGTTGCTTGCAGGATCAGGTGTGATTTTTGGTGATAGGTTTTACTGATAGTACAAAATAATTATTTTGTTTTATGTAGACATGGGACTTTTAAAAATTAAATTAGTAGTATTTTAGCAACAGTAAGCATCCATTCCATATTCCAGGAAATGTGGACTCAAATTTAGTTTGGCAAATATTTACTGTGTGGAATAGCAAAAGGAACAATGCCAGAGAGAAATTGGTGAGTTTATAAAATTATAGTACAAAAAAAAAAGTTGTCTCTGCAATGTGTAGTCTAGAGTAGGCATGAGAGGTTATGCTGACAATGGCCACACAGCCCTTTTCCTGAATGAGGACTTTGTCCTGCCTCATGAATACCAGGCTGCTATAATCACAGAGAAGACACAGGGCTATTTTCAAGTTTATCTGGTCATTAACTGGAATGCAACAAGAATGCTGTAAATGTCAAGTTGTGTGGTTGTGAGTTTACCAGGAAATAATACAATAGCCATACCAAATATAGAACAAGTGGGCATGCTTCAGAGATTGTAAGGAACCTCAGACTCTAAAACAGAGTTTGCAAAGTGGAAGCTTCCAGGATGCCTAGGTGTTTAAATAATAACTAGACCTTGTTTGGTGTCTGTAGTACTTGTGAAAATTCTAGTTCGTTTCAGCAGCATTAAAAATGCAAAATTCAAGTTCGAGGCTAGGCTGGACCGAAAGCCTCCAAAACAATACAGAGAAACCCTGTCTCGTAAAAAAAAAAAAAAAAAAATGCAAAATTCACTGGGCGCATCTTTAATCCCAATACTCAGGAAACAGAGGCATCTGGGTCTCTGTGAGTTTGAAGCCAGCCTGGTCTACATATTGAGTTCCAGACCAGCCAGAGATACATAGGGAGACACTATCTTTTAAAAAATAAAATAAAAAAGAAAAGAAAAGCTGTTTTTAGGTCAGTTTCAGATTTACAGAAGAGTTATGACCTAGCATACAGATACCTCAGATTTCCCTAACTTACTATGTTTGCTGAACTGAGTGAGGAGTGAGTCAGTTTTAGCATGATTAACCCATAATGGGTTTACACTTCCTTGTTTTTGTTTGTTTTTTTTCTTTTTAAACCCATCTTCCTTCTCCATCCCAGGATACTATTTAGTACCCCACATGACTTTCTCTGTAGCCCAAGGCTGAAGCCTTTCTTAGGTTTAGCGCAGGGCTCCAGATTTCGGGTTTCGGAAGGAAGAGCATGCGCGCACACACACAGGTCACGTCCATTCTCATCCAGCTATGCGGAGGCTCTTCTTGTGAACATGACCTGTCTGTCACTTGTGGTGCTGAAAAGTTGTCTGAGGTAGTGTTCAGTTTCTGACTCATTGTCTCATCTCCTTGAGCCCAGTGAACTCGAGGTGGGAATCTTACCTGGGGAGTGAATTTGACTTCCTGTTAATCTCAGCCACTTATTAATCTTCCTAGGGAAAAAAAATGTTTGAACATCCCCGACTTCAGAAGATTGTAACTATCTTAACATGGCGAATTTCTTTTTATTTGTGTTTTATTTTTATGTGCGCTGGTGTTTTGCCTGCATGCATGTCTGTGTGAAGGTTTGGATCCCCTAGAGCTGTAATTGTAGACAGCTGTGAGCTGCCATGTGGGTGCTGAGAATTGAACCCGGGTTGTCCCGAAAAACAGACAGTGCTCTTAACCACTGAGTCATCTCTCCAGCCCCAAATTTCTCAGTCTATATGAAAATCTATTTAGGCACTTTAATTATCAAGTTACTGTGTCAGCTATTATTTTCATTTCAACTGTTAATTTCACTGGACTGACTAAGGATGCCATACCAAAACTCAATAGTCTGAAAAACAAAATTGATTTTCCCTGAGTCCTTGAGGCTAGGATTCCAAGATCAAAAATCTGAAGTTTTTCTGTCTGTATAGGCTTCTCTCCTTATCTGTCACATGATCATTTTCACAGCATGACAGATCTGTCCATCCAAGCAAGGCTGTGTGTCCTTCCCTCCTTTTCTTGAAAGGGCACTAGTCATATTAGATCAGGGCCCAACCTAATGACCCCAGTTCAACTTACC